AGACGACCTGTCTTTTTAACTTCAAATGCTGATAATTCTGGACCCACTTGGATTTGAAGGCTCAAATTTAGACGGTTAGCTGTGAATACTATTACAGATTGGCTTTTACAGATTCCCGTTTCTGAGACTATGGTATGATTGGTATGTTATGATAGTATGATTATTATTATTACATTTTTTTAACTAAGAGTGTATTGTATGTAACAAAATGGCTATCAATATCAAACCAATGTGCAGTATGAGAACATTTGATTCAATATATCTGATATGTCCTTAAGTTCATTGCACAAGTTTGTTGGTGTATCAAATTTTACAGATTAATTTCAAAAGAATTGAATTTCAGTACTCTTAGTATTAGTCTGACTGCATTGATATAAATGTAAACATCAGCACACATTATTTTATTTTGCAATTTGATTTTGCAACTGAGGACAATTTTTCATCAAAATTAAAGAAATTTCTGGAACGAAAGTTTGTTTCTTTTCCTTGTAAATGATTCTAAGACCATTTTACTAGTACTATTTTAAAGCTGATATTCATGTTTGCAAAGGTTAATTTACCATAGAAATTGTATACTGGTAGTGTGTGAGTTCATTGCACAAGGGTCTCAGATTTCTATAGCTTATCATCAAATCTAATATTCATTAAGATTGTTCAGTTATTTCTATATAGAAAAATAAAATGAGTTTTGAAAGTGAAGCTGAACTAAGTTGTAAATCCATGAAATTTGATACTGACAGCAAAGGGATTAATTATAAAAGCTTTAAAAAATCTGAAAAAAGCCAAATCGTGACTTGATATTCAATTTAAGCAAAAAATATTCAATATGACATTTTTAAATGATGAGAATATCATAATTAATTCTGTATGTCTTTAAGATTAATATTACAAAATGGTTGCCATGGTAACTAAACTAGATCCATCATGGAAATAAATGTCCTCAAAATATGTTATCAAAGTTTTTAGTGAAGAAAAATAGTGGTAATTATAATTATCCAGCTTGTTAATGATTTCCTCAGTTAATTAGCATTATTATCAAGTTCTTAGAAATGATTTCTGTTCAATTATTGATGTTGGTTAATTATACACGTTATCACTAGTAGTTTCCAGTTCAAACCTTTCTTCACGGTGCTTATCATCTAAAAATCAATTTCAAGTTGATATTTAGGACAATATACTCATATTTCTACTATTTCAAATTTTACATTTTATTTCAAGCAATTATTCTTTATATCAAAACAAATTTATGGCCTTTTCTTTTTATGTAAGTAATAATGATAATGAACTTTATTTTTCAAGTTCCTGTCTAACAATTAGCCCATGGGTGACAGACATAAATTCTTTATTTTACATGAGTCAGAATGAAGTCCAATACACCAAAGTGACATGGTCTTGTCCAACATTCCACCCATTAGGAATCTTTATATTACGTGGGTCAGAATGAGGTCCAATACCCAAAAGTTACATGGTTCTGTGACAGGACTCTAACATGCAGTCTGTGGGGACAAACATAGATTCTTTATTTTACATGGATCAGAATTAGGTCTAGTACACCAAAGTGACAAGGTCCTGCCTACCATTCAATTCAGCCAATGAAGCAAACAGAGACTCTTTAGTTTACATAGGTCAGATGTAATACACCAAAGTGACATGGTCCTGTCTAACATACAGCCCATACATATACAAGGACAACACAATGAAAGAAAAAGTTTATAATTTTACACAAGTTTTAGATGGACTGATGGAAGTTGCGATCAAGTACATGTACAAGATGTACAGGTTACCACAGTTCAAATAATATATTACACAACACTATAAATGTATATATATATTGCTGTGATCCCTATTCGTCTGTTACCAATTCTTGTTTACAGGATACTATCTACAGTTTTCATTTATGGGGTTTAGAAGATCGGTGATTATATGTGTACGTTTTGCAGAATCATCATGAGTATGAGTTTGAGTTGCACTTAGGGATACATGTAATCACAGCTTAACACAGTCAGTTTGGTTCTTGACATTTTAACATATTTACAATGCAGGATTGCTGTGAACAAATTTTCCTTCGTCATCTTCATTAGCACAATCATTGAATGACGTGAAACTGCATTTCATTACATCTGCAGGAAATGAAAGGACTTGGCACAAACCAATGACAAAGCTAGTACTTTACACTTAGAAAGACGAAAAATTAGAAATATGTTGAATTAATCTGTATGGTAAATATTGATACATGAACAGCATTTTAAGCTTTTTAACATCAAAGTGATGGCAAGTACAAAAATTGGATTAAAAAGAATCTGTGCATGAATATAAAAAAATTAAAAATGAACTGAAAGGAACATTGTTTTGCAAGTTATAAGGTTAACGAGGCTGCCTCTACATATCTAATGATTATTGAAATAAAGTGTATGACTACGCAGGGGATGTATTGACGAAGTAACTCTATGATCAATTCGACCACCTGCCTTCTCACACAACAATCAACAACCTTTTTCTCATCCTCACAATTATCACCTCTTTTTCTTTTACCAACTTTGATTTTCAATAATTATCTAAAGTTCTGATGAAGTCCAGAGTAGTGTAAATCTGAAGTAATTGCTAGGTTACCTAGTATTTTATTGTTGGGAGGGGAGGGGTTCGCTCATTTCAATGAATTAACATCTACCTATTTCATTTTACATGATTTTGCATCTAGTAAAATGACGCATTTCAGTTCTACACTGTCTTCACCATGTTTTCACCATGTCAAGTTATTATGGACTACATCTGATACCTTGACATCATTGAGCACTTTTCGTTTGTAAATGCAAGTTTTAATTGGGTTCTGATAAACTGTTTCTGCTTGCGTCCAATCCAAACAAATCTCAAATAACAAACGCTTTGATACAAGAAAAGTTCCCAATGCTGTCAAGATATTACAATCAAAGTCTAATACATAGACATTAGAAAGATGGTCCTTCATCTGATCTTGGGAATTTGAAAATGTAGTCTTGTCATTAGTATTGTATGTTATATGAAAGCATAGCAGACTTGTAATGATATAATGAAAAACCAAAATATTGGTTAAGAGGCATAGCTCAATATTATTTAGGGATGTTGGAAATATATCTACAGTTAAAATAGGTGGTCTATAATTGATAATAAAACCGGTTTAGACGCTGTCCGAAAGGCCTTTCTTCGAAATCCCTGCAACTTTTGGAATTATGTCTAATGCGAAATGACTTTGCCTTTAATGAATCCAGACTTCAGGCACCGCGATGGGCAAAAGATTTGCGCCGAGTTATGCAAATATCTGTATGGCTGAGTGGGAACTGGAAATTTCTTCCATTTCCCCTTTTGAACCTTTCTTCTATGGAAGGTTTCTTGACGATATTTATATTATTTGGACCGAGTCTTTAACAAATTTTTGGCAATATTTTGAAATTTTAAATAATCACCACCCTTCTGTAAAACTAACTGCGAATATTTGTGAACAAAGTATGGATTTTTTGGATACTACGGTATTCAAAGGACCAAGTTTCTCTCAAACAAACAAATTAGACATCAAAGTATTTTTTAAACCAACGGATACTCACCAACTTTTATATAAAAACTCTTTTCACCCAAAACATACTTTTACGGGAATAATCAAATCACAAATTTTGCGTTTTTTTAGAATTTGCACTCAAAAAGTAGATTTTGATGCAGCTTGTAGACTAGTTTTCAGTAAATTAAGAGAGAGGGGCTATTCCAAACGATTCTTGCGCAAAATTAAAAATGACACTGTTTTGGACCTTTTGAAAATTAATGAACCCCCTCCTCCAATAAATAACTTTGGGGCAATACCATGTAGAGGTTCTCGGTGTCGCACCTGTGAACATATCCATATGTCTCATTATTTTCAAAATAAAAAAAACGGAAAAATATTTGAAATTAAAGAACGTCTCACGTGTACGGATAAAAACATCATTTACCTAATTTCGTGTAAAAAATGTGACAAACAATACGTCGGCGAAACCCAGAACGCATTGCGAACTCGATTTAGCGGCCATCGCTTTGATATAATTCATAGCAAAAATAGACCAATTTCTCAACATTTTAATTTACCTGACCATTCCATTGAAGACCTACTTATCATGCCTATTGAATCAATTCCTGACTCTGATCTTATCAAACCAAAAACCAAACGATTACAGAGAGAAAGCTACTGGATGGACCAACTCCAAACAGTGGCTCCAAATGGACTTAACATCCAGCATGATAATCAAATGATTCCATTTGTTGCCACCTTTAATCATACAGCTGCCAAAACCTCATCCATCGTCAAACAGTATTACAGTGAATTACAGAACAGATTTTCCAAACGACTTGTAATTGCCTATAAGCGCAATAAAAACCTTAGTAATTTTCTGGTCCGTGGTAGACTCCATCCCATTGAATCCAATAATACTTGACCCCCCTCTCTATTTTCTAGCTCATTAAGTATAATATATTCTAATCCTTATATATAGATGTTTATCTTTTCAGAACCTATAAATACTCTTTTCTTTTAGAACTGGGTAACAAGAAAACTTTTATATTATAGACTTTTGTTTATTTAGATTACTCGTGGTTGTTTTTTTTTTTTTTTTTAACTTAATACTAACTATGCTAACTTCACCTTATCTTGTATTGAACATTTATCTCTTTATTTGTGACCTTGGCCAGTGCTTTACATAGAAGTTTTTAGGAACTTCTTCACTCTTAACACCAGTTCTAATAAATATGCATTGAGGGCCCCACGACATAAATATTCCATCACCCCTTAATCTGTCTCGATATAGCCTTGTTCAAAGTAACTCTGGTAAAAATTTGTTTGTTAAATTTAGTGGGGATACCTAGTAATGGCCCTAATAGAAAATTTGTTTGTACCCACAATTGTAGCCCCATTTCATTTCTTAAAAAATCAAAAATGTAATTTTAAACTTTTGTTATACGCTAACATGGAAATGATGAGCATGTATTAATCTGTTTTTCAGAATTGTGGTGGTGTAGAAGCTTTTTTATTGGGAATTTACAACTTGGTAAGTTATTACAATAATCTTTGCTTCTACAGATAACCTTACTTCTTACAAATAGAACTTACATAAACAGCAAATTGATAAATAGAACAACTTGCAAATAAAACAAACTTATAAAACAAAAAAACCAATAAACCAAAAAAAAATCTCACAAATATATAAAAATGACAAATATAACAAACTAACAATTTACAAATATAACAAACTAACATATATTAAAAAAAAAATAACAGCTTAAAAGTATAACATTTTACAAATATAAAAAAAACTTATAAATATAAAAACTTGTAATCTTTATATTATTGAAGATAATGTGTTTATGTATTTGAAACTCATCATATAAGAGGTGATTCAGAATATGATTATTCTATTAGAAATGAAATGTAGGTTTACCATTAATGTACTTTAGCAAGGTAAAAATCTTGTAAATAGTATGTTTAGTATTATTGAAAATAATATTTTTTGTATGCATATTATTAAACAGTCAACATGCTTGTTAAAGACAGTCAGAAATCACAAAATGAGTAGGTATATGCCTCTGTGCTGACGAAATTCCCTCTTTGCACATTGCTTGGAGTTTTTCCATCATCATAAGCCCAAAGAGGTGCAATCAACTAGGAAGTATCTCAATATACTGATACCAACAGTATCTCCTGAACCTACCAGTAACCTACCAGTATCTTCTGAACCTACCAGTATCTTCTGAACCTACTGATACCACCAGTATCTCCTGAACTAAATGATACCACCAGTATCTTCTGAACTTATGATACCACCAGCATCCCCTGAGCCTACCAGTAACCTACCAGTATCTTCTGAACCTACTGATACCTCCAGTATCTCCTGAATTTACCAGTATCTTCTGAACTTACTGATACCTCCAGTATCTCCTGAACCTACCAGTATCTTCTTAACCTACTGATACTACCAGTATCTCCAGAACTTACTGATACCACCAGTATCTCCTTAACTTACTGATGCCACCAGTATCACCTGAGCCTACCAATATCTTCTGAACTTACTGATACCACCAGTATCTCCTAAACCTACCAGTATCTTCAGAACTTACTGATACTTCCAGTATCTCATGAGCCTACCAGTAACCTACTAGTATCTTCTGAACCTACTGATACCAAAAGTATCTCATGAACTTATTGATACCACCAGTATCTCCTGAACTTACTGATACCACCAGTATCTCCTGAGCCTACCAGTAACCTATCAGTATCTTCTGAACCTACTGTTACCACCAGTATCTCCTGAACCTACCAGTATCTTCTGAACTTACTGATACCTCCAGTATCTTCTGAACCTACCAGTAACCTACTAGTATCTTCTGAACCTACTGATACCAAAAGTATCTCCTGAACCTACCAGTATCTTCTGAACTTACTGATACCTCCAGTATCTCCTGAACCTACCAGTATTTTCTGAACCTACTGTTACAACCAGTATCTCCTGAACTTACTGATACCACCAGTATCTCCTGAACTTACTGATACCACCAGTATCTCCTGAGCCTACCAGTAACCTACCAGTATCTTCTGAACCTTCAATAACTTTTGAGTCCACTGAACTTACTGACCCTACCAATATCATCGGAACTTTTTGATCCTTACAACAACAAGGATAACAACACAAGGTCATAAGGATCCTTTACCATCTGGTTCTTGGCCAAACCTCTTGGCATTGATCTTTTCTGGATTATCATTAACCATTTACAGCTGTGTTGGCTGGAATAATGAAGGACTTATACAAGGCCATCAGACTTTTGCACGCCCACCAAGATTAGAACCCACAACCACCATTTGTACCACTTCACCAATAAAATCTAAAAAGTTCACATCAAATTTAGTGAAGCATCAATCTGCAACTAATTCTGATAGCTAATTATGCCGCATATTCTGGAAACGATCTTAGCGCTAGTATGTTCTAGGGTCTTAAATTCTATCAGTATTTCTAGGATATCATAGCACTAAGATCGTTTCAAGAATGCGTGGCCAGATGTATGATTCATACAGAATATAACAGGTTCCTGATTTGATTACTGTAAAGATTTTAATTTCAACAGAAGCAGCATGACAATTGTTGCCTGGAAGAGTTATTGGTAGTGTGCTACTATAATTATATTTGAGGGTAATGGTAGGGAAGTTGAGATCTGTAGTTGATTGTTCTATCGATTCATAGTTTGGATAATTTATGAGTCTCTACTTCATGTTGACAGCCAGTTATTATTTCTACTTTGGTTTTTCTCCAAAAAGTTATGTCAGAAACAATTACTTGTTTATCAACATTTATAGCCTAACATCCAAATTTGATACTCTTAGATAGTTTTTATTTTTTCACCAATATTATTGTTTTTTGCTGGATGAAAATTGACATGAGAGATTTGTGTGAGGGATTTATTTTCATGGAATTAGTTGGTCAACCAATGGAATCTAATTCTTGTGAATCTTAATACATTCAAACTACAAATGCAATATAAAGTCCTATAGTATGAGAAGATGTGTACCTTTGTTGGTAAAGGTCCGTGCACATACAGAGAATTGAACATCTTAAACAGATTCTTCGGAATCTATACCCCACATGCAAATGCTCACTGATTGGCTAAATAAGAAATGACGTAAAAGGTTTCATTCCAATGACTCATGACCCTGTAGCACTAAAGATCTGATTACATTTTCATCTGAATAGTTGGTTATAAATAGAAATATTTGGAAAACAAACTCAATATTTTTGTTGTTGTTGAAATTTGAATTATGCTAAAGGCAAACTCAAAAATCTTTTTTTGAAGGAATTTTTTGTGACAAAATACCAAGTGCAAATATAAACAAGTAGTGACATTTCTTAATGTACTTAAAGACTATTGAAGTCATAATTTGCACTTTGAAACAAGGATAATTATGTTCAAGCGTAGTTTTGAAAGCTCAAAATTTGACGATAAGCTGTGATCACTATCACTATTTCTGAGACTATGGTACAATTGGTCAAACGGATGGCGAATGCATCTCTTTAAGGTGAAATATCAGGCAACTTAAAAATGAAACAGAAAGAAAGAAAGAAAATATTTTAATATATTTTATATATAATCTCATTGCCACAGGATTAAATACATGACTAATGTAGGTAGTCTAGAACATATGGCCCTAATATATAAATTTAAATTTTATAAAAATATTTCCTGGAAACAGACTATGTAGGCGTTAAAGAGAAATCATAAGACAAATAGAATGATAAATATGGTTAAATCTAGAGACTCACAATGACATTTTCATTATATGTCTGGTCTATATCATAAAACCCTTAGTTACCCAAACTGGACTTGTAGTACCTTCTCACCTTCGCTAGATTGACCAATCTTGCTTTAACTGTTCCAGGGACTTGATATACAGATGGAATTCTACTGTCAAAAATGCGATTGTCAAAAAATAGCGAAACAAAAGTTGGTCAGAGCACTCCCATAAAAGGTGACATATTATGTCTTGCTCTAAACGTGCTGATATCCCATCAGTATATGACGTCTGAGGACAGTTAGAGCAAGATTTGTCAGGTTAACCATAGAAGCTTCTTGGACTAGATTAAATTGTATTGAGGTATAATAAGCCTTTTGATCGAAGAATGTTACCAGGAGATGGCAGTTTAAAGTTAGATGAAAGTAATTATTAGTATAAATAGTCTAGAGGATGAGAATTTTGGATTCAAGGGAAGTTTCAATGTTTCTTCATATAAAAGCAAGTGTTTTCTTAAAAATATGATATAAAAGAAATATGATATAAAAGAAATATGATATAAAATATTTATGATATAAAAGGACAGATAATGCCACTGTCAGAGCAAAATTTCTAAACGATCTGATCTTAATTATAATAAAACACCTCTTTCTAAATTATACTGATGTACCAATCTGAAACAAATTTTAACTTAGTTCTTCTAAATCTAATATCATGTGGTCCCACGGTTTAGCTATCATTTATATTCCCTTGAAAAAAATTTGTACAGCATCTTCTATTCTATTCAGGTTAAAGAATTATAGAATTTTAGATTCAATTTTAGAAATTTAATTGTTTTCTCACAAAAAACCTGTAAAAAAAATGTATCCAATTGCTGAGGCGATCAATCATTTTAAAAGAAAGAGACAGAAAAACGCACCTACTCATGACTTAAGAATTAAAATACCAGCTTACTCTGTCTTTTATATTCATTTTGTATAAGACCGTCTTGTAAGTTATTGGTGAATAAGACTTCTCTCTGTAATATGACACTTATTGAAACAGACTTATTTCTGTGATGAGACCCTTCAATGATAAGTCTTCTCTCTGTATTATGAATTTTTGTGAAACAGACTTATTTCTGTGTTTAGACCCTTCAGACTTATTTCTGTGATGAGACCCTTCAGACTTATTTCTGTGATGAGACCCTTCAATGATAAGTCTTCTCTCTGCATTATGACTTTTTGTGAAACAGACTTATTTCTGTGATTAGACCCTTCAGACTTATTTCTGTGATGAGACCCTTCAGACTTATTTCTGTGATGAGATCCTTCAGTGATTAGTCTGTCCTGTGATAAGACATTTTAAAGATGAAGATTTCTTTCTATTATATTATGCTTCAATGATGAAGAATTCTTTCTGTGATGAGACCCTAAGGTGATGCCTTACAACATTTTAGTGATAAAGACTTCTCTCAGTGATAAGACATTTCAGTGGTCAAGGAAGTAAAAATCCATTCATTTCATTTCAGTGGTCAAGTTTTTCTGGAATTACAGGAACCACAAATATCAAACAGTAATGGAAAATATTGCAGTTATATGCCATAAGTGTTCTTAATCATTTAAATAGACCAAGAAAAACAATTCAAAACAAAAAAAAATAACACCAGTCACAGGTATGAAGAGCATGATTTCCAAATACCGTCAAAATATCCCTGATAATAAGTCATATCCTATATGATTAAACAAAACATAAGCATGATCAGATGAAAGATTAGAAATTTTACTTTTTACGGAAATTAATTAACAAAAAGAAGATGTTACACAGGAAATTGGGAAAGAAAAGCCAGAAGATTGGAGATTCTTTTTAGCTCTCTTGCTGTATTGTATGGAAAATTTTTATGTGCTATCTGACTTTTTTGTGGATGTGGTAGAAAGTTTTCGAGGTGAGTTGAGAATTTTAAATTGATCTATGATATTTTCTGTTCATAAGGAAATTATATACAAATCAATTTAAAGGTTATAAAAGAGATAAAAGTATTTATATTAAAACTACCCTATACAGAGGACAACTCACTGTGAACTGTGGTTTTCAGTGTTTTCTCTCCAGTTTTGCCTCTG